AATCCTACTTCACGAATAGATGGATTCCGTTGACCGATTCACTTATTTCACCAATCAAATCAGCCCGAACAGGGCGTTTGCTGACCAATCTCAGCTTGGATACAGAGGGCGTGTTTGGTATTTGCCAACTTGCGTCATCTCTGGCGCCACCTGGCAAGATATCTGACTACTGAATGAAGGACGAGTATACTGCGTTGCAGTTTGTTCTATTGCGATATACGGCTGTGACATAACCGACAAAAATAAAAGATTAGAAGAGATTACAGGTTTTCGACTACACGTGTCTTCGCAGCATTTCTCACGCATCGTGAAAGCACCGCAGGAACAATTTTAAAAATAGGTGTAAAGGGTAATAGGCAAGCCAATCAATGAAGTTATGAACCTTTATGGACTGATTTGATTCAGATATGTGCTCCGCATGCCTGACCAGTGCCTATCTTGAAGTGCAGTGCTAAGAGTTAGATTGTTTCAGAAGAGGGCTCAAGGCGACTGGATTAAGACATTACACAAATTCATTAAGTTTCTGACTGCTGATCTGAGTTATATGTATGAGTGTAGGTTGCCTGGTCGGGTTCCCCGAAACCATAAGAATCAATGGTGGGAAAGTCTTGTGGATATAACTGAAAATCGGTCACAATGACGCAGATCTATTTATGCCTTGGCATCTTCTGAAGTCTGAACATTAAAAAAACTCTCCATCTTTCCGTACTGTGTAGCGCAGCAACTTGAGATGATGCACTTCTTCTGTGCTAGTTTCCATGTTGTTTTTGTCTGACTGTTTGTCTATATCCAAGTACCTTTCATCCCCCCTTATTTCTTGAAGGGTGATTAGTTCTCTACAAAAGCAACACTTGGAGTGTACTGATCAATAAAGCCCAATCACTTAAATCAAAGATATCAATTACAAATAACACTCTATACAGATTGAAATCAAATATGAAAATATTACCTGAATTTTCCTGTTTCTTTAAAAACCAAACAGCTAGCTCACAGTATTATTGGTTACTATTTATCTTTTAAATTCCTAGTGGAACATAGGGCTTTAGTAGCACGTCACCATTTCACTCTCTTCTCTGTAATCTTTTCAATCTGGCTCCACGACTGCCCATTAACTTGCATTTCTTCCTCACACCTCCTCCCCCATGTCACCCTTGGACTCCCAAGTCGTCGTTTCCCACTTGGGTTCCACTCGATGGCCTGACCTGGGGCACGATGTCTCCAAATGGCCTTCTCAGTGTATAACCGATCAAATCCATCTCCACTTCCTTCTTCTGCATATTTGTTGGGCGACGGGTTCTTGGTCGGTTCGTTGCCAGAGTTCCTCCTTGGTTATTCTTTCTGTCCACCTGATCTTCAGTATTACGTGAGCGTAGGCGGCAGTTGTTCATGTATGTCTGTGGTTTGTTAGAAATGCTTTTCGTAACGCGTCAAGTCTCTCAACCATCACATACAAGAACTGACTTAACTGACATTAGTGTTGGAAATCCGGATCTTGCTTCACATGCTGAGTGCAGTAGAGTGGAGTAGATCTACACACTGATTTCAGGTTAAGGAAGCAAGGCCTGTCTTGCTGTCTTTCCGATCCTGGCTTTGACATTGTCATCTATGCCGTCATCTGTAGTTGAAACGATGCTGCCTAGGAAGGCAGGTAAAAGAGACAACTTCCTTCACATTTCTTCCGTTGATGGTGAATGGTGCTTGTTAGTAATTGGGTATCTTCATTACCTGTGTCTTCTATACGTTCACCTGAACGAAGTCCCGTCTTCGCTGTGTCGCCTCGCCTCTTCTTCCAACTTGTTGGTTCTCGCCTGTAGATCATCGAGTTTGTGAGACATTAGACATAAATCATGATCGGCGAAATCCAAATCTTCTAGGGTGTTTTCATCGGTCCAGCCAGCCTATACCCATCTTGTCGCTCCTCACAGTTTCTTGCATGATCCAGTTCAGTCGACCACAATCAGGAAGATCATCGGTGATAGTAGGCAATCTCGTCTTCCTGTTAACCTGTCTTCACTTCAAAGACATCACTGAGCTTTCCATTGTGAACCACTTGGTAAGTAGCATCATATAGCATATAACTGTTGACTGAAGTTGGTAGAGGTTTGTGGTACTAAAACCATAGTGTTTTGAAGCAGTTTCCAAGTTACTTCTCGGTTGACTCTGCCGAAGGCCTTTTCGAAGTTGATGAAGTTGAGGTAGAGAGTTGACTGTTATTCTATGCTTTGTTCTATGATAATGCGTAGCGCTGCTTACAGCACAATCAATATAATCTGATAGGAATTAAATAACATGATGGTGCTTTGATGTTTTCTAAGCTCTGTTTGGTGTTTTTGTCATGAATATTTCATGATCAGGCTTAATGACATCATCTCCTCAGTACTAACTTCATAAAGAAGTGAAGCATGTTCGAAAACTGTCGTCATGAACAAAACGGACTATGACAAAAAGGCATAGGAATTACTAAACGATGGAAGTGTATACCAACCATTAGATCACAATCCAATTAAACAGTTGAAGAACCAGATCCAAAGGAAACTGAAGAGTCTAGTTAAAGCTGGGTAAATCATGAAAGAAGAAGAATGGCAGATAAAGACAAACGGACTAATCATACCAAGACTCTACAGTCAACCAATAGTTTTACAACATGGAACACTTTCATTCATATAGAAAACTAAAACATCTCGTCAGTGGAAGTGAACACACAATCAGCTGCTCAGTTACTGAATTTCTAGATAAAATAAAAGATTTAAGGATAAGTAATAATGAAAAGATGAAATCCTTGGATGTGACTTCACTCTTCACTTCAATTGACTCAAATCTAACCAAGGAGACTATGGATATTCGTCTGAAAAATGATCAAACCCTTTCTGACTATACAAAGATCATGGTTCCAAGTTTAGTGGAATTGATCAAGACATGTTTCATGACCTATTTCCAACTCAATGGGAAGATTTATGAACAAAAAGGATTGATTGCTGAGGCTGTGATGCAGCGACTGGAGTTAATAGTCATCCTTCTCATCAAGCTAAAAACTTGCATTCGGTACGTCGATGACACATTCTTAAATCACACAAGGAAGATGAAATAGGAAACAGTTCAAAGTGACCATTGGATTCCAACCCAATGACTAGCTCAATGGTAACACGCTGGCCAAGGAACCTGGACGTTCTGAGTTCGCTCCCTTGCGAGGTGGCATCATAATGGGTGTGCACTGCTGAGGGGTCCTATATTAGGACGAGACGGCTATCCAGTACTTCCAGGTTTCCTATCTCCCTCCAACTGATGTCAGTCTACGATGAACACCAACTTGAAAAATCACTAAATCCTTCACAAACTCCCGAGTTAAATTGATTTAGTCCTCAGTGATGACTAGCTTTGAGAGGTGATTCACGAAGTTCCAATGAGAAGTCATCACTGGTGGGACAAATCTAGTGGCCATAAGGACAAATACTCAATGATGACATTGGGCTATGGTCAAGTTATGTCGTGAACTGACAGAAACTGGAAATATGGACCATCGGATCCCGACCCACCGGCTCAATGGTAACGTGCTGAGCCACAGAACCTGAAGCTCCCGGGTTCGAGCCCCGGTGGTCAGGGACGGAGTCATGGGTGTGCATTGCGGGGGAGTCCCATATTGGCACGAAACACATGTTCAGTACTCTCAAGTTTGCAATGTTCCACCAACTTATGTAAGTGCATAATGATGGATAGTGGCTAGCAGTGGAATCCAGGATGCGCACTTCTTCCTATTTGACATACGTCAATTGGATGTCCCTGCCTCCCAGTGAGTGATATTGTTCCCACCGGGATTCGAACCAAGGATCGATCGTTTCAAACCGATCAATTCGGTCTAATCAACGATGGTATAATACAAACAATAAGACTACTTATCAAAAAGTGTTTATCATCAGCAGGATAGAAGACAGAACAACTGCCCCAAAATCAATAGGCAAATTACACTACCCTACATCAAAGATATCTGGGAAACAGTCAAGTGGTTGTTTCGTCCCTTCGGAGTCAGAGTAGCACACAAACCAACGAAATCACTAGACAGCATGTTGTCCAAATTAAAGGACCCATTGCAAAAAAGAAGATGTGACAAATATAATCTACGAAATCAATTGTAAAAATTGTTCACAGCATTATGTTGGCCAGTTGTTATGTTGGCCATCGGGTTGCCCAAGAAATTCGTGGACATTAACCAGCAGTAAAGCGACATAACGCGAACTCCTTAGTTTCAATGCATACAGACAATCACAACCACAACCACAAATTCTACTGAGAGAATGTGGAGATCGTCTAAAGAGTAGTTTGGAAAGCTGTAAGAGATTTTCCAGAAGCATGACATTCCAACGAAATGTGGATATAGACCTAATCTGCAATCCATTCATTAGGAAGAAAATAGTCATTCATCAACCAAGAGTAAATTGACCGGACAAATCAATAATACTGCACAGTAAGACAACAACGACAACAAATAGCACAAGTCCACTCCAACAAAGAATATCTACCAACGCGATTGAAGGGAATTCAAGGTCAGAGAGGTGAGAGTGTGATGAAGACAACACTTCCCCAACTTACAATTAGACAGCATTCAAGGTCAATAAAGAAAAACCATTTAGATATTTGTATACTATTTGATTATGCTTCACTTCTCTTTATGAAGTTTGTGCTGCTGATGATGTCACTAAGCCTAGTGATGAAAAATCCACGGGAAAATAGTAAAGCTTAGAGAAAACTAAATCACCATCACACTCATCCTGAGCTATAAAGCTTTCCCATCATTAAATAACGGCAAGTAAAACATAAGCATAAGAGAGTTGTACGATATACATCCCTCTTTAAATAACATTACTACTGTTTGTTACTACGTCGATCGAAAGGACATGAACACGAAAAGATATCACACCGTAACACCATGTTCCACAATGAATACATTACAATTATTATTATTATCATTGGAGGGTAAGGAGTGACACAGAAACAAACAAACTTACCTGATTTTTAGACTTTCGGGGATCTTCCCATGTGGTAGATTTATTAATATGATCAATAAAATAGGGGAAACCGGTGACACTATCATAACCCACTGACCATCCAGGAGGTAAGCCTTGTGAATCCATAATTAATAGAGTAGTGAAAGTAGTAGTAGTAGTAGTAGCAGCGTCGGACACTAATTTTGCTCAACAAATCAGAAGCGTTTCACATAAGATGTGAAACCAAGGTCAAAAGATTTACGAAAGAGACAGAACAATGCAGCTATACGACCTGAAGACAGAAAAATATACAGTTAATTAATCAAAATGGTTTATGCGACTAAACTAACTACTACACATACACTTAGTAGAAAAGAGTTTATGAAGTGCAGTTTGCAATCTTCCGTCCAAGAATGTCAGTTAAAAAGATCATCTAGAATGAGAAGTATCTTGAAATTGTATCGGGACAACATTACATGCTCAACATACAATGTCCGGTACCAGCAGTGCACATCCATGACCCCGCTCCACCAGGAATCGAATTTAGGGACTTTCAGGTCCCTTGGTCAGCATGTTATCAACTAGTCAGTCACCAAGATCGGAATCCACAAACATCCAAATTGAAATTAAATAATAACATGAGCAACATGGTGCAAGGATGATTTGTACAACGAAATTTGACAATAAGTGTCTTGTGTATATTTTAACCACTACATTGACCTGGAAAGTCACATTAACCTTGGTGAACAGAGAAGCAAACAGACAGATAAACTTAACAGAGAACCTCATACACAAATGAATCACTTCCCGTTGCGACTCCTCACACAAGCACATGAAGAAGAAATGGATAAGAATAAGCCAGATATCAAAGTGCATAAAGTAGTGTGACAATAAACAATCTGAGGATAAAGGTTAGTGCGAATATTCAAGCTTTAGAAGACATCAATGAGTGGATATATCTGCGCCATGGTGACCGATTTTCAGCTATGCCACCAAGAGTTCTTAACCATTCACTCCTTCCATCTCAGGGACGCCACACATGGCTCAGAACAACAGTAAGAAACATCATCGACTGGTCTTGATACCCTGAACCCTATTCAAAACTAATCCAATTTCTCCTAACAAGGCACGTTGAGGTAGGAGGTAGCCCAGCATTCGCAGCACATATCCAAGCCATCTCAGAACCTCATCAATCGACTTGTCGGCCTGTTTCACCCAGTTTCTTTCACCTGACCTCAACATTGCTCACACACTGATTCAATCAAACGCGAACAATGCTACACATACACCTATACGATCAAAACCTTGTGACCGCTTTATGTCTTCCACTTTTAACGGCCATGACTCAGCCGTATTACAGGACAGAACGAACTGCGGTGCAGTGTTCTCAGCTTTTCATAGGTAGTGGGATATCTCGCTAGACGTCACCAGAGATGACGCAAGTAGGCGAATGTCGAATGGGCTATCTGTATCCGAGGTAAGATTTTGTCACTAACGAGCCCGTTCGAGCTGATGCAACTCTTCAAGTAAGAGAAGTGGTCATCATTATCATCATCATCAAACTAAGAGTGGTTACAGACCAGCTCTGGAGCATCATATTACATTTGACAGGTGGGAAAACCCATACCAAAAATATTCAGATTTCCGCTCAACATGTTGAAATGACCCTACATTTTGCCAGCATCTACACCTAGAAGGACAACGTAGTCTGCATACTCCAAGTCAGCCAGATGACAAGCAGGGGGTATATCATTCCCAGTGAACTCAAGAGCACCTAACGTTACGTCCATTAATACGTCTGTAACGAAGTTAAATAGGAGTGGTGACAGTAGATATCCCTGCCTGACACCACTAGTTGTCATCAGTTCGGAAGACAACTCCATAAACTATAACATGGCTGCATGAGTTCGACCATGGATTTTGATTAGCAACGCAGTGTGTAGGCTTCCCCAAAAAGATGTCAGTTGAAACGATCATTCAGAATGAGGAGTGTTTTGAAATTGTATCTGGACAACAATATATATTAGATAATATAATGTCTGGTATCAGCAGTACACACATCCATGACCCCTATCCACCAAGGATAGAACCCAAAACTTTCAGGTTCCGTGGCCAACACTTTACCATTGAGTCAACGCCTAGGTTGTAGTCAAACGCTTCACACTTTTTCAATAAATATATCTCCACAAAAACCCAAGTTGAATTTACGTAATAATCTGAATGTAAGCTAAGGGTTATGTGTACAACGTAAATTGACAATAAGTGAGGTAGTTTTCTGCGTATGTTTTAGCCACTTCATTAACCTGGACAGTTGTATCAACCTTGGTGAAAAGACAGACAAAATCAACGTAGACCGTCTCATGCAAGTTTATCACTCCAAGTTGTAACACTTCATAGCAGTAATATACAAAGAACAAGTTGTGGATAGGAAAAAGTGATGTCAGAATAGATAAAGTTGTGTGAGAGAATAAACAATTAGAAGATAACGGTTAGTGCAAGTATTCCAGCTTTAAAAGATATGAAAGAGTGAATACATCTGCATCATTGTGACTGATTGTCACCGAGAGCTCCCAACTACTGATGCGTTTTTACATCTTCGGAAACCTAAGTCGGGCAGTCTACGTCTCCCCCACACGGCTCAGACCAACAGTTGAGGACTTCATGGACTGGTGCCATGCCTTCGTCTTGCCACCCTGAACCCACTTTCAACCTAATCCAATTTCGCATAGCATGGAGAGTTGAGGTAGGTGATAGCTGGGCATGCGCAGTACCTTAGTGAACAACATATACACAGAAATATCTTGGAAGAAATACAGAAGGTTCAGTCTTTGTACGTTGATACCTTTTGTGACTCAGATAGGTTAACTTACCTGATTATATCATTTTCTCCATAGAGTTAAAGTGATGTGCTGATGCATTGGGAATTCCAGAAGAGATTAACAATCGAAACGATGTAACAATATGGTTTCGACACAGAAAACCTTTACCTGCAACAGCCTAATGCGAAGGATATTCCATTATAAGCGTAAAGAAGTGTCTTTGAACCTACTGTTCATAATAAACTAACTTTTAGATTAACTACGTACGATCTAGAAATGTAACACACTTATAACAAGAACAATGTAACTCAGCAAGCATATACACATTCGTAAAGTATAGACAACAAGCCGCACCTATAATATGACAGCTAAGAATAACTGGCGGCTCAAACCTCCGTAGGTAGAGCGGGATTCGGATTCATACATATATGGTTGAAAGTTGCCTGTCTAGATCAACAAACTACAAAAATTCATTTGCAGGCTCAGTGTTCACAATAAGATCATATAAGCCAGTTAACTGTTCTTTCAATGTGACAAGAAACAGACGTACATCGGTTGTCGCTATCATTATTATTATTACTACTATTGCTATTATTTGAGTCGGTCAATTATCAACCTAGAGACCAATGAACACCCTTAAAGATCTCATATGTGACTTGCTGTCTACTAGATTACACATATAGTATGAAATATATTAAAACCTGAAACAAATAATGAATTTCAAAAAACCAATCAGTTGGAAAAATTGAAACGTTAAACCAACTAGAAAAAAAGAAAAGTGGTAAGACACACTTCTCGAAATAAAGAACCTGCTAAAGAACACTTCTAGGTGGTTGCTTCATCTAACGTTCACTATAAGTCAGGTACGGGGACACAAACGCAAAACAGTGTAAGTGTTACGCATACCTAACCCTCGTCTGCCTCGTAGCACAATGTTGGCCAAGGTAGGTTCAGGCTGGAAAAAGGCTTGAGGTGGTCAGACTAAAACATGACATCAATGCATGAAGTTATTGACTGTTCGTTTGAACATGTAGGGCGATGCAGACTAGCCGGTTGGGATTTGCGGGAGAAGCGAAACCAGTGGTTGTTGGGGACTCTAAGTGATATGGCTCGGAACCGATGTCGGTGGTGCAGACGTATCCACACACATTACCCTCATCTCAACCCCTATACCTAATCTCATCGTCTTGTCAATTCTCCCTCCTCTCTTTTACTACTTTCTACTTCCACTTCCTTCGACCGAGTTTTCTTTCCTTCTTCATCTTCCACTTTATTTCCTTGTTACTTGCCTCACATTAAAACAGTGCAAAGAAAGAAAACCAACGTAAGACAAGCCATTTAAGTTAAGGAGGAATATAAATCGTGACCAACAGTAAAACAAATAGTACAACTCAAATCAGTACAGGTATATGTACTCAGCTTAGTGTCCGTAAGTATGGTATGTGCTTTGCACCATTAAAGTGCAAAGTAATCTTGCAAGATTGGTAGGAGACCGTACCTGCGCTCACCCTTGGTAGTGGGCCATTGGAAGTAGTCGATAAGTTGTTCGTGTTCGTGTATCTGGGTAGTTGTGTGTGGTGAAAATTTCAATCACATATCTAAAGCCAGAGTGGCATACGTCGATCTGGGCCACCTTTGGCGCCATCGTGACGTTAGTCGGATTTATAACGCCTCGGTGAGAGCAGTTCTGCTCTACACCTGTGAACACCTGGCCTCTCCCAGCTGACGATATACGATGATTCTGTGCGTTCGATCATCATTGTCTTTGCAGGATTACTCGTATCAACTGGCAACACCGTGTAAGTAATCCTGAGGTACGACAAAGTGTGTTTAGGCATGATGGAGATCGTCACTCACCAAGTGAAAACATCTAGATATGTGTTACGCATATCATCCCAACGGATTTCACGCCGTTCATTGTTTGCCAACCCCGAGACTGGATGGTAGGAGCAAATGGGCAACCAGTGTATGACATGGTACTTTGGGATAAAGGATAGTTGTATCGGGTTCGCATTTGTTGGTTCACACGACCCTCTGGGTTCCTAGTGGAACACAGGGCTTCAGTAGCACTTCACTGTTTTCTGCAGTCTTTTGAATCTGAAGACAAAGGTTATTAAAACGTCCAGGCTTTAAAATATATCAAAGAGTGAATACATCTGCGCCATCGTAACCGATTTTCAGCCATGTCACCAAGAGTCCTTAACCACTGATTCCTGTCGCCTCCCTATATAGCTCAGACCAACAGCCAAGGACTTCATCGACTGGTGCTACATTTTGGTCTGGCCATTCTGAACCCTCTGTCAATCTAATTTAACCCCCCTCCTCCAGCATTCCTCGTTGGTGTAGGCAATGGCTTGGTATGTCTG